TATTGTGAATAGTGCTGCAATGAACACTGGTGTACAGGTCTCTGTTTGAGCCCCTTCTTTCAAGTTTTTTGGGTTTATACCTAGGAGTAGTCTTGCTGGGTCATATGGTAGTTTCATTTTTAGGTTTTTGAGGAACTACCAGACTGTTTTCCACAACGGTTGTACCATTTTGCAATCCCACCAGCAGGGGATAAGCATTCAATTCCCCCATATCCTCGCCAACATTTTCTGCTTTTTTCTAATCTTAGCCATCCTAGTGGGAGTGAAATTGTATCTCATTGTGGTTTTGATTTGCGTCTCTCTGATGGCTAATGATGCTGAGCATTTTTTCTTATGTTTGGTGGCCACTTGAATGTCTTCTTTGGTGAAATGTCTATTTAAGTCTTTTGCCCGTTTTATGATTCAGCTGTCTTATAATTGTTAAGTTGTCAAAGTTTTATACATATTTTGGTTATTAGATTCTTATCAGATACATGGTTTCCAAAGATATTCTCCCAGTAGGTAGCTTGCCTTTTCATTTATTTGATAAAGTCTTGATGAACAAAGTTTTTAATTTTTATGAGGTCCCATTTATTTATTTTGTCTTTTGTATTTGTGCTTTTGTAATTATATTCCCGTTGCTGTCAAGTTGATTCGGACTCATAGAGACCCTGCAGTACAGAGTAGAACTGCCCCATAGGGTTTCCAAGGAGCGGCTGGTGGATTTGAACTGCTGACCTTGTTGGTTAGCAGCTGAGCTCTTAACTACTGTGCTACCAGGGCTCCTTTGTAATTGTATTAGATAATTCGTTATTAAAAGCTAGGCCCAGCAGTGTTGCCCCTGTATTTTCTTCTAAGAATTTTATGATTTTAGATGTACATTTAGGTCCTTAATACATTTTGAATTTGTTTTTGTGTATGGTGTGAGGTCAGGATCCTGTTTCATTTTTCTGCATATGGAAATCCAGTTTTCCCAATGTCATTTATTGAAGAGACTCTTCTTTCCCTATTAAATGGACTTCGCACCCTTGTCAAAAAGCAATTGATCACAGATGTGTGGGTTTATTTCTGGACTGTCAATTCTATTCCATTGCTGCATGTGTTTACTGTTATACCAGTACCGGCTGTTTTGATTACTGTAGCTGCATAACACGTTTTAAGACATCTGATTATTTACATATGAATGTTTTTTGGTGGGAAGACTGTGTAGCACTGTTTTTGTTATTGTTACGTGCCGTCAAGTTGATTCTGACTCATAGCGATCCTATGTATGCCTGAGTTTAAGAGCACAGATTTTAGAGTCAGATTCGCTGGGGTACAAGCTCTGGTCCCTCCATTTACTAACTGTGATTGTATGCAAGTTTTTTCGCCTATGTAAACCTTGTTGTTCTTATCAGTAAAATGTTGATAATTATAATTATTTGATAAATTTTATCCATGATTGTTTTAAAAATGGAGAAGGAATAAAGAAATGAATTGATGCTAAGGAATAAAAAGTTCTCACGTCAGGAAAACCACCATTATTCTGAATAGATACTCATTGCCGTTGAGTTGATCCTGACTCATGGAGACCCTACTGGGCAGGGTAGAACTGCCCCACAAGGTCTCCAAGCAGCGGCTGGTGGATCCAAACTGCTGACTTTTTTTGGTTAGCAGCCAAGCTGTTAACCACTGCACCACATAGATACATACATATATCTATTTTCTATTTTTCATGGACAGTTAATTCATACTCTAGAATCTAATCCATTTAATTTTCTAATTCTTCACTATGGAAGTGTTGGAATTAGGCTTGCAGGAAAATGAAAAGCAAGCTTTTATGATATTTTTCTGACTTTTGTGATCTATCATGATTAATGAAGCTTTATGGGAAACCAGAAACAAATAATTCCTGGATTCCTGGTTTCATGTTTTACAGCAATCTATTAGGCTTTGGAAAAATGCCTAAAGGTTGCATTTTATAGCTTTTTTTTCACAAATAAGTTATACATATATATATACCATGGTACGGGTCATAGAGCAAGAACTTTACACTTGTTTAAATCCAGCTTTTTCCTCCTTGCCCTTCCTCCTCTCTCATGCTTCACTCTACATCTGTTACAAAAGTATTCGTTCAAAATAATATGAGAAAATGTCATCAACAGGACTCACAATGGGCTAGTTGTCTTTTGGTGGGGAGGAGTGGAGATATATATATATATATATATATATATATATTTGAAGCTACTGATGGTAGTAGTACAAAGTTAAACATGTAAGAAGTGAGACTGATCTTTTAAAATACTGATTGAAACTCAATGCTCTCAGTACTTTTATCCTGTTCTAGTATCCAGAAAATACTCAGTACTTTCTGCTGTGTCTTAATATTCTTTTGCAGTTGTGGAAGTTAAGCTTATGAAAATTACCTGGTGGTATCTGGAGGAGATGTAGGAGGGGGGCGGAGGGCAGTGGTGGTTTGGTGGTAGACTCTCGCCTTTCATGCGGGAGACCCAGGTTCAATTCCCACCCACTGCACCTCAAGCCCACTGCACCTCAAGCACAGCTACCACCTGTCTGTCAGTGGAGGCTGCATGTTGCTATGATGCTGAACAGGTTTCACCTAAGCTTCCAAACTGAGATGGGAAAAAGGCCTGGTGATCTACTTGTGAGAAAACCCTATGGATCACAATGGTCTGATTTGCAACCGATCCTGGGGATGGCACAGAACCAGGAAGGATCTGTTCCATTGTGCATGGAGTCACCATGAGTTGGGGGCCAACTGGATGGCAGGCAACAAGAACAGCAACAAATCTTTAATTTTTCAGCTTCTAGTAAGCAATAAATAATTCTATAAAGAAAATGAAGTGACTCATTAAAATAATCTACATCTGCCATATTATTATCCTTCAATCTGACATTGCTCTGGAAGTAATTGCCAATGAAGTGAAACAGAGGAAAAATAAAGGTATGAAGCAGGAGGCAAAATTATCACGTTTGCAGCTCATATAGTCATATACTCAGAAAACCAAGTGAATCAGCAGAAACACTATTAGAAACAGTTAGGTTTCAGAAATATTGTTGATTACAAAATAAATATATACAAATCAACAGCTTTTCCATAATCAATAACCAATTAGAAAATGCAATGAAAGGAATTATCCAGTGTATAATAGCGACAAAAAAGATATACCAGCTAACATAAACTTAAAAAATTACAGGTCTTATGTGAAGAAAACCTTAAAAATTCTTTTGAGGAAAATAAAACAAATGTAAAGATATACTTCACTTTGGATGGAAACATTCAATATTGTCTATTTTAATTCTTTCTAAATTAATGGGGCTTTTTGTGAACCTAATAATTCTATAATTAAAATTTTAAAAATGCATGCAAAATTATCTATGAAAAGTTTGAACAAGAAGAGCAATAGATGCCCTGCCAGACATAAAAATATATTGCGAAGTCCCAAATAAAACATTCTTTGCATTAAGAAGAAACAGAAGTTCTCTGGATTAGGGTAGAGATTTAGAACATACCTACAACACATGCAGAAATCATTTAATGTACAATGAAGATGACATTTCATATCAGTGGCATAAAGATAGATTATTCACTTAGAAAACGAGCTAGGTATTTGGAAAAAATACAAAGTTGCTCACAACTTAATTCCTTGCACCAAAATCAATTGTAGATTGATTTTGTATAAACGTAAAAATGTATAACTGTATAAGGGAAAAAAAAAAAAAAAGAGTTAAGAAAATGAAGAGAGAGTTGATAAATATAATCAATAAACTTATCAGCCTTTCAGCCAGAACTGCCATCTTGCAGTAATTCACCAAAATGACGAACACAAAGGGAAGGAGGAGTGGCACTCGCTTATATGTTCTCTAGGCCTTTTAGAAAGCATGGAGTTGTTCCTTTGGCTACATATATGCGAATCTACTAGAAAAACGATATTATAGACATCAAGGGAATGGGCAATGTTCAAAAAGAAATGTCCCACAAATGTTACCATGGCAAAACTGGAAGTAAACAAACTTGTTGTAAACAAACAAGTTGAGGGCAAGATTCTTGCCAAGATAATTAATGTGCGTATTGAGGATGTTATGCACTCTAACCGCCAAAATGGCTTTCTGAAATGCATGAGGGAAAATGATCAGAAACAGAAGGAAGCCAAAGAGAAAGGTACCTGGGCTCAACTGAAGCACCAGCCTGCTCCACCCAGAGCAGCACACTTTGTGAGAACCAATGGAAAGAAGCCTGAGCTGCTGGCACCTATTCCCTATGAATTCATGGCATAATAGGGGTAAAATAAAGAAGTTTGGAATGTAAAAATGTCATCTTTGATTTGAATTGTGCAGGAGTGTTGTGTCCTTTCCCCTAAAGATGTAGTATTTAACGCAAACTTTGTTTCTTAATTTCCTGGGTAAAAATTGTCTTTACCATTAAAATTTAGTGTTTTTCTTGCTGAAAATAAATTAAAAAGCTTATCAAAGAAGGTTCAACCTCGCTTTTATTTAAGGAAAGCCAATCAAAATAAAGGTGGACCATTTTTTACTTATCAAATATAAAGGCCATAGGGTCATGTTTATAAACATCGTAATTTGGCTGTGCTTCTTACTTTTCTGGAAAGGTTAGCTGCGTTACCACAGCCTAATAAAATCTGGGGAGTCAGCTTGCTCTCTTTTCAGCCAGTCTCCAGCTATAGAAAGTCCTTTCCTGTTAAAAATATGGGAGGCTTAGGTGAAAAACAACTCCACCAACCATGCCAAACTATCTAATTACCTGGCTATACTCATAACGAATTCGTTTTCAGAAAATATATCTAGTAGGTGATCCAGTTCTGAAAACCAGCAATGAAATCCCTATGGCTCAAATCCTTACCATCCTGAGCAGGCAGAGTTTTGTTCCATTGTGCATGGGGTCTCTATGAGTGGGGGTCAATTTGAAGGCAGCTAATGATAATGAAGTTGCCTTTGGAAGATGGGGAAGGGTTGGAAGTTGTGGAAGAGAGGAGAGACTTGATTTTGCATTATCAGCATACCTGGACTGTTTGAATTTCTGACCACATGCATGTTATCATCTTTCTGAAAAAAAAAAAAAAAAGGAGCATTACGCTCTTTTAAGAACTTCTATATGGGATCAAAGGGACAACGGCAACTGGAAAGATACGGAACCTTAGGGGGCAGTGAGTTTATGTTAATGGAGGAGGATCAACACAGAAAAGGAGGGTGAGTAGGGATGCACAGCTCGAAGAGTGCAATTAACGTCACTGAATTGTACGTGTAGAAATGGTCCAATTGGTGTATGTTTTGCTGTGTATATTCTCAACAACAACAAAACTAAAAAAAAAAAGTAAAAAAAAATCAGAGGTATTATTTTGTGGTCAAAGATTTATGAGTCAACTAATAGCACTCAAGAAATTATAAGTTAAAACATGTTGATTCTGATATCCTAAATTTGCTGTAAATATATAATGCATATCATGTCTCTGCTGCAGAAATAAACAGCCTTTGCAATAAATCCTGATTTCTTGTTGTATTTTTGTACTTAAAATATTTCCCCTTTTTGATTGTACTATAGTAGTTTTACCAGCAAGAGTTGTTTCTAATTTTTTACTTATAAGCTAAATTATCACACATTATTGTTTGAGTATTATGACACTTGAGTATTACAAACATTTATCCAGCAAAATCTAATTCTCTTCAATGTTGTGTGTGTTTACAACCATGCATATATTTTTAAACTAAAAGTGAAAAATCCTTGCCAACAAAAATCTATTTGTCAAGATTGTGGTAATGATGTTTTTAATTATACAATATGTATAAAAACCTAAACAACTGTATAGTTACTACAATTTGATAAATTTTAACTTTGATAATAGGGATTTAAAATTCAGGAGTCCTTCCTTCTATTCCTGGCTCTATCATTAATTAACTGGATGACCCTGACCGTGTCACTTATCTCTCTGAGCATTCACTTCTTCATCTGTAAAACAGGTACAAATACTATCCTACCTGGCTGAACTGCCAAGGTGATCAATGAGATGAAAGAAATCGATGTTCAAAATTTAAAAACAAACAAATCTGTCTTGAGAAAAGAACAGCCAGAATGCTCATTAGAAGCGAGGATGGTGAGACTTCATCTCTCATACTTTGGACGTGTTATCGGGAGGGACCCGTCCTTGGAGAAGCACATCATGCTTGGTAGTGTAGATGGTCAGTGAAAAAGAGGAGGACCCTCAGTGAGATAAACTGACACAGTGGCTGCCACAATGGGCTCAAGCATAAAAACGACTGTGAGGATGGCACAGGACCAGGCAGTGTTTTGTTCTATTGTACATAGGGTCATTATGAGTTAGAGCTGAATCGATGGCACCTAACAACCACAACATTAAACACAAATGATTATTTTTAAATAATTTTATTCAGAGCCTTATTTCTTTTGGTCTTAGTTCATTTTTAAAATCTATCGTAAATTTTAAGAAACTTTATTTTGAGCATGTTTGTTTCATGCTCAAAACCACCAATGCTCCACATTTCTGACTCCAACAAGTCTACACTACTCTTGATTCTCAAGAGCCTCCATAATCTGACTTCAGGCTACCCATCCAGTGTTAGTTCCCACTGTTAACCACCATGGACTCTCCGCTGCTCTTTTCAAGCCCTTTGCCACACTGTTCCATACTGCGTTCATGATGCTCCCCATCTATTGCATCTGTTCCCATTTCTACTTAGTGAATTCTATTCCAGTCTTCAAAATCCAAAATAATCCTGACCATCCTTGGAGACCCTGAAAAATGTGGAGTATTCCTCATTTTATGATGCCCCCTTATATTGTCTGATGTTTTTGCTAGTGCCTTATTCTTGCTCTCCTCGCCATATTAGAATTTCCTTAAGGTGAAAGGCCATTCTGTATACATTTTCAGAACATTTTTATAGTGTTGAGGACATAACTGGTGAATTTTTTTCTGTTTTAAATCCAGCACCAGGTGTTCACTAAGCAGTGCCCATCAAGTGTCAGGCACTGGGCCAAGAGCCAGGTAATGAGATGGGCAGTCTTCATGGAGAGCACAGTGCTACGGTCGATTCAGTCCTGTGTACATTCAATAAAGAGCTGCGGGCCCCTTCCTTACAGGAGCCCAGAGGTGAGACACATAATGTAAGCGTTAAGTAGTCAAGACAGGCTTCTCAGAGGAGGTGACACTTAAGCTAAGAATCCCAGAAAGAGTAAGAGTCAACCAGGTGAAATCGGCACCAACCTCATCCTCCAGCTTCCCAGCATGATCAAGCTGCAAGGCACTATAGGATTCACCTGAGGCCCACAGCTGGGCCCAGCCTTTTCAAAAGCCTCAATGACTCTCCTGTTCTCCAATTAGTTTACTAACTTTTCCATTAAGTCACATGGCTTTACTCAGCGAAGCTAATGATATGCATGATGCATGGTACTTTCCTAAAATCAATGAGTCCATTCCTTTAATTACATTACTTGTCAAACATTAACTTGAAATAAAATGTTCTAAACTGAATATCAGTATTTCCACAGCAGGTAGAATTCTATATTATAATTACCTGTCTTGACAATCTTTGACTTTAATAACATATAAAGTAATACTTAAGAAGAATACTATAACTGTACTACCTATTGCCATCAAGTTGATTCAATTCATAGCAACCCTATAAACAGAGTAGACCTGCCCAACAGGGTTTCCAAGGAGCAGCTGGTGCATTCCAACTGCTGACCTTTTGGTTAGCACCCGAACACTTAACCGTATTAGGTGTAAAGAAAAAGTTTGTCATAAAAGGAGCAATGGAGAGAAAGAACACTCTTGTTTACTATATATGCACTATGTGTCAGCCACCAATAAGTCTACTTTACAGTCTTCAAAACCCTACTGAGGTAAATATAATGATATGCTGTTATACATGAGAAAACTAAGGTTTCAGAGAGGTTAAGCAATTTACCTCAGGATACACAGCAGGCAGATGTGAAACTCAAGCTGATAACCATCCAAAGCCTATGTTGTTTTCTCCATCACCCTCTGCACCTAGTGGAGTCCTGCTTATTTATTTTTCAGCTACTTTTTCAGAGAAATGATCTCTAACCAGACCCCTCAGACTATGCCAGTGCCCCCCTTTTCAATGTTCTCATATATCCCTGTACTTTCCCATAACACACAGCTTGTATTTATGTGTTTATTTCTGTGACTCATTGATTAAAAATATCTACCTCTGTCACTAGACTCCAGGCTCCAAGAGGTCAGTGGCATTTTTATTTTACACCATATTTTACGCGTAGGGCCTGGCATATTGTTGGCATTTAATAACTAGTTATCAAAGAAATGGCACACATGGGCGGGTTATCCAATAGGCAAGGTAAACACGGTGCTTACTTTGTTTACAAGATCACCTGTAGTGAATAATTTCACTTCATCATCTGTGAAATTGTTCACTACAGATTAGTAAGTAAGCACAAGTAAACCCATGCTTACCTTGCTTACTGGGTCATCCATCCCTGTCAGGGATTGTAAATTTGAAAAGAAGCTTTGATTCTGTAGGAAAGTGCTGTGGGGTTGGGAGAGAGACAGATGCCAGCCATACCTAGAAGCAGAATCTTTGATGTGGTGAAAAGATGTGAAATTGTTCACTACAGATGATCTGGTAAGCAAGGTAAGCACCGTGCTCACCTTGCCTGTTGGATAATCTGCTCCAGCAGCAGTCTCCAACAAGAAACTTGGGAGTGGTTGATCAAAGACACTCTCTGTAAGAACAATGTAGTCTCAGGGAAGGGAGAGATGTGCAAGTTGTGTGGGTGATTCTCACAACACAATTGCTGTTTATAGGTTTTATAATACTAAGAAACACTGGAAATACTTCACTTCTTACAAAATCATAATACAAATTTGTAGTGAGATAAGAAGCAAAATACAAAGACAAATAGTTTAAATCTCTTGGTATCTGACGCAACTTAATAGGTATAGTTTTTCTATAAAGTTATTTGAAAGATACCTTAAAGTTACAGACATTTTAAATCCTCTGCTGTTAGTTAAAACTATGAACACACACACACATACATAAACTGGAGTAGAAATAAAATTCCCCAAATAGAATATAATTATTTCTACAGCAGGTACAGTTCTATAGTGTGTGTGTATGTAGTTTATTTGTTTAATTTTGTTTTTATAACCGCCTAGCTGGAAGTTAGTTCTGCCTCAAAAATTTCGTAGGATTATTCCCACAGTGCTTGAGAATTAATTATAATTATGCTGAGGTTATATCTTTTAACTTAAATTACAATAGGGATCCATAGAACAATTTCATCTGTGGTCATATTATTATAAAATATTCAAAGCAGTCTTAAGTAGTAAGCCTATTTACTTTGGTTTTCATTCAGCCCACTTCCTGACCCATACAGAGAATCTGGTATAACCCAGTGCAAGACTGTTCTCCTTAGTTTAAGTGAGGAGACATTTCTAGTCAGAAAATGCTCTGCACAAACATATTCCATTCCTGCAAATTGAACAAAAGAAAAAGATTAAAATAAAACATTATGTGATATATTTCTTTTAGTGACACTTAGCAGAAGTATCATTGTTCCCAGTTTTTTTTTGTCTCTCTGTTTTCATTAGTCCATGGGTTAGCAAGTGTCACTGTCTTAGTCATCTAGAGCTGCTACAACAGAAATACCACAAGTGGATGGTTTTAACAAAGAGAAATTTATTTCTTCACAGTAAAGTAGGCTAAAAGTCCAAATTCAGGGCATCAGCTCTAGGGGAAGGCTTTCTCTCTCTGTCAGCCTTCTCATCAATGTTCCCCCAGACTAGGAGCTTCTCTGCACGGGGACCCCAGGTCCAAGGGACATGCTCTGCTCCTGGCACTGCTTTCTTGGTGGTATGAGGTCCCTTTACACTGGATCAGGGATGTGACTTGGGTAAAGGTGGTGTTACAATCCCACCCTAATCCTCTTTAACATAAAATTACAATCACAAAATGGAGGCCAACCACACAATTCTGGGAATCATGGCCCAGCCAAATTGATACACTCATTTTTGGGGGGACATAATTCAAACCACGACAGTTGCTGAGCA